TAATCTACATAGAGCAACGGATCTTTCGGGTTGGTGCTCTATACGACGACGGAAGACAATGGCATGTTGTCAATTCTCCTGCGTGACTCCCGCGTGAGAACATCGCTTATCCCTAAAAACGAAGGCTGACTCGATCTCGACAGTGTTGTTAGTCATCATCATCCCGAAATCTTAGGTTAACTATCAATAGTTACCTTAACTAACTATTATGGCTTAAGTAAGGAACAGCCTCGCCGAGATTCTCGACGAGGCTGAGTGTCAAGCTTGCTTGGCGTCTTGGCGTCCCTAGCGTTCCCAGACGCTTAATCATGCTGAAAGCAGTTAGTCTATCACGTGACCATAGACCGGATAGCGACCGGGGTCGGATATGAGGAGACGAAGAGACGAGACTATGGGGTTGGTACGCCCTTGTGGTTGTTTACAACATATGGTTAACCTGGTTACACGACAAAGCCCAACTTGGTCGTCTTCCGTCAGGTCGCCTTTCTGCTGCTCAAGCTGCTTTTTGTGTTGGGTTCGAGAGAAAGTTGCGAGTACTTTCCAAGGAGACCCACATAGACTAGCGTTCTATTGGTTGCGGAGAAAAGATGTTCAGTACCGACCTGAGACCTTTGGCCATGATGATGGCCAATAGGACATTGGGGAACAGCTAGTTGGGACTTAAAGCGAATTGAGACTGAAGACAAGACATCGTTGCCTGATCTGCTTCCTTCACACAAAGCTTTTAAGGTCAGCCTTCCTCCGTCCTGGAGAACCACTCCATCGATATGTATGTAAGGGCCGGGATAGCCCAAATGCCATAAGACTTCGTAAGTGCAGATGAAATTTCGCGATGGTTCTGTTCATTGACAGTTTCTTAGTGAATTTCTTGTTAACAACCCCGAGAAACGACGCTTTGCCTTGCTTGCTTGCGGTTCTCCCTAGCCAATCTCTACCGAAGCCTAAGATCACCAGTTATCACTGTTGTCATGCCACCTCCCTTTCCCCTAGGTGGATACAAAATCCAGGAGATCACTCGAACCCAGCTTTTGGATGCAATACATTGCGCTCCAGTTGTCCATGAACAGGAAGGTGCAGTTTTAGTACGAGTTCATGAATCTGCCGTGCTAAAATACGGTAATGGAGTGTCCCTAGCCGAGGCGAGAAATATAAGATTTGTTCGTAAGAGAACAAGGATACGAGTGCCCACTATTTTTGATGCATGGGAAGAGCGATCTGAGATATACAATGGCGAGGAACAAGTGGTGGGCTACCTTCTGATGGAGTTTATCGACGGTAACCCCTTGTGTGACATCTGGCCAACACTCACCAACGAGGTCCGGAACTCCATCTTTGCCCAAATTGCCGACTATCTCCGTGCAATTCATACCATCGAGATGGAAAGACCAGGGCCAGTCGGTGGTGGCGTCTCGCGCGGGCCGCTCTTTACTGATTACGGCGCTGGGCCATTCCTGACTGCTCAGCACATGGAAGATTGGTTTAATGAGCGTCTCCTCGTGTGCAAAGAATTCAATCGTGTTTCGTATGACCACCCTGGATTCTCCGGCAAATTCCGCAAGCTTGTTATGTGCCACATGGACGTCGCTCCTCGCAACATGATACTTGATCGTGATGGAAAGATTTGGCTACTCGACTGGGCCCAGTCGGGTGGATATCCTGCGCTGTTTGAAACAGCCGCGCTCCTGAGAACTGGTAATCGCGAATTTACACAAGGGCTATTGAAATATATTGATGATTACCAAGAGGAAGCAAAGGATTTGCTGAAGATTGGTTTTGCTTTGACGACGGCAGCATGGACTAAACCATCTGGCCATGTACCGCAGATAACTTGGAGTAACAGGACATAGAGTATCAATCCGACGATTTGCATCCTTGACTGTTAATGGCCCTATAGTAGGGATTCTTCTGCGAGATTTCCGTGAGTTTGGAGCGCGCGCGCGCTCTAGATGTTGAGAGATATCGCTTTGAAGTTGGGCTGTCAATTCGGCTGTTTGTATAGCGCTTTGAAAGACTCGGTCAAGACGGCGCGTAAAGCTCTTGTCAAGGTTAGGGCTTTCATTGACAAACTTATCCAGCTTTTGAATGCTCCGTCGCAGTGTACGAATTGTCTGAGGAGGAGAATTGGTTGAGCTAGATGGAATTGATGGTGTTTTGTCCCGTATATTTAGAACCGGAGATGGAGACCTTGCGTTGGCTAGAATGTCGAGTGCTTTCGAAGGATTCCAGGGATATATCCCCCGATCAATAAAGGCGTTTCGGATTGTACGTTGTTTGAATGTATCGCAGCGAAGTTTAGGGATATCACGAAGAAAGTCGGCCTTGTCTATCGTAGAGATCCCCCATTGTATATTCTCATTGTTTTTCTTGCGAAAATAGTGTTTAAAGGCCTGGAAGGGCTGACCATCGAGCGGCTGAACGAGATGAG